GTTCTCCACACACGGTTCGGCACGCGCTAGGACCGCGGTTCAACTTAAATCTGACAACGCATCTGTAATTTGGTTTGCTATAAATAACACGTAAAACAAACAGGGTTCGGCTAATATATGTTTCTGTTGATGGATGCGCATTCTGGCTTCCCAATACATTACAACAACAGCGATGAAAAAAAAAACATGGACAAACCATTCACTCTTGTTCAATGCGAATGCCGTATGCTGGAATATGAGCAGTCATTTATTACGTCATCACCTGGGTGATGATAGCACGCGCTCACTGGTGAGACCTGAACAGCACATGTTGATATCTGTGTTTAAACTAAACTCATTTAAGCTTTGCCAGTATAAACATTTAAGAGCCAGAGGACGCGAGCTTGCGCGCACAGTGAGAAGATTTGTGTGCGCGCTCATCCGAAGCACGCAAACCCGTGCCTCAGAACATATGCAAATATTAAGCTCTCTCTGAAGTATTGTGTTTAAATGGACAAATTCACACAAAAATTGTCAAAATGCCCGTCTTGGTAAGTATCCTATAGCAGACTTAGCCGACTGAACGTACTGTATCAGTGCATTCTCTTAAAGTGACAGCACTATTAATCAAACAGCAACAACAAAGAATTCACTCATACAGTGAAATATGCAATGCTGTTTTACATTTCATTACTTTATAAAATTTCTGTACCTAAAAACTAATGTTAGACCTACCTAAAAAGCCTGGAAATCATTGTTTATTTTATTTGTATCTTTACTCTATTGTATTTATTTGCAGTGTTGGGGGTAATATATTACAAGTAACGCAAGTTACGTAATCAGATTACTTTTTTCAAGTAACTAGTAAAGACCCATAATATACACACACACATATATATATACATATACATGCACACACAGTAACATGTGAAATGTGAAAAAATATGAATGTTAATATTAATGTTAATTATTTATGATATAATTTTTTATTATTAATATTAACATTAATATTAATTAAAATACATATTTTTAAAAAGTTAATGAAAAAATATACAATTATAAATGCAGCAATTCAAACCTAAATAAATCAAAATAAGGAAACAAAAAATATTTGAACTGAAATAGAAAGGAAAGCGTTATCTCAGCCAAACCTTCCATTTGTGTTAAACTCGTTAGTGTTACTCTAGGACATTTCAGTTATTATGTGTCACTATAAGCCACACCCACTCCAGGAACCAGCCCCTTCCATGCTGATCGTAACAATATTCTGTTTATTGGTTTAAGGTTCACTCGTTTTGTGATATGATTTATGCCTATGTCAATAGATGGTCCCTCTTTACGCTGACCGGTTTTATGGTTAATCTTAATGAATGCCGTTTGGAGCTGGGGGGTTCCCTGTATCCTTCAAAGTATTAGAATATATAGGAACAATTATTGTTAGATATTAGTATTGATGGTACTTTAATAATGAATAATGACAATGCCAAAAGTTCAAGAATAATTACTTTTAAAATTTGCAGCATAGAAATACAACCGAAATGCTATATTATATATATATTTTATTTATTTAGTTAATATTGATATATTTAATAAAATTTTTAAATAAAGGATTGTTCAGTAGCATAACATTTTTGCAGTAGAATAAAGTTGGTATAAAATAATGAAATTGCATTGATGTCAACTACTAACATTTGGTATTGGCATTTTGGTATTGGTTAATTCAAGATAATTGGGACATTCTTCCCAGTCATTTCAATGGCAAGACCTTTTTTACCCTATATAGTTAATTATTACAAATGTATAATTTATATGCATACTTTTGTTTGTTGGATATCAGTCAATATTGAAGAAAGGGTGCTTGATGTCCAGATGTCCCTAAGAAATGTGTCTGATCAATATCCTGTGGCCCTGAAAGCAGCCTGATTTTACAGGACGTCTTTAACATAAGTTAGTTGTCTAGTACTTAAACCCACAGATTTGTTAATTTGGAAAATGTCCCTATTATGTTTACTTGGATATGAGTGATCTCCGTATTTTTACCTTAACTGCCGTGTATGCATGTGTGTGTCAAATGACACTTAAAGTCTGGCAGATGGTGGGGGGATGCTGTTTTTCCACTTGAGTGAAGCATCAGCGTGCTGCTAAGACGATTTCCTCGATTTCTGCAGCGACCGGTATTAAACTAACAGGACTGTGTGTAATACTCCCTCCAGGCCTGGAGAATCACCCACACATGTCTGCGTTATGTGTTTATGCAGCGCTCATCAGTTTTAGGAAGATCATTTGGATTTAAACCTCCCACCTGATGTGATTTGACTGTCAGGTGCTGTCGTTGAATTGCTTGCTCTGTTAAAGGTGGACAGGATTCTGCCTAATGCCTGTCATGAGAGTTATAGCCCAGAGTAATCATTAACTACTTGGTCCTGTGTGTAAACAGAGCATGAGATTCCACTTTTATCTTAATTGCACTTTCATCTCCCCCCCCCCTTCATTCTCTGATTTGTGCACTCATTAGCTAAATAAGATGCTCAGTATAACAAAAACATCAAGTCAGCTCAAAATACAGGCCACTGAACAGATGAGCCCCAGTGTGTTCTACTGGCTTGACTGAAGTATTAAAGTGTTAGGTTGAGGATCCAGTGACAATGTTAAATTTAGCATATGCATGTATGTATCATGTATGTATATGTCTATATAATGCTGCAATGTCTGAATTCACTTGTATTATTTACAATTATTGATTTTAGTTGTTAGTGTTTATATATATATATATGGTGCCAAAAGTCATATTTGCTATGTGGTTATTAGCCAAAGCATAATTAATAGAGATGCACCGATTGAATCGGAATCGGCCGATTTTCCTCATGATCGGCCCGGATCGGTGTCCGGCCGGTCAGTCTCACTTCTTTCCGATTCTGAGCCGATCCGTTTTGTTACCAGCGGCACAGGCAATAACGTCAGCCGCGCATTCTCATTCTCATCTCTCCGACGACCCCTTCTCTCTCACACACGTCTCATTCGCTCCGGTTAAATAGTGCTTGTATTGCGCATTATTTTTCAGACATTCATTCAGTCAGGTTTCGTGCTTACACCAAAAGCACGCGTAGCATCACTGATCTATATTAGTGGAGCGCACAAGCCGCACTCAGTCTCAAACAGCTTGCGTCAAAAATCGGTATCGGCAGATCACACTAACAAAAAATCGGAAATCGGAATCTGACAAGAAAATTGCAATCAGTGCATCGCTAATAATTAATATAGCCTATTTAAAATAATAATTGCCTTATTTGTTTTGATTATCATAATTTATATTTAAATATGCATCCTTAATGAATACTAGGGCTGCACGATAAATCGCATGCGATATTTAACGCGCATCTTATCAGTAAAGCCGGTTCTGTACGAGCTGCGCAAAACCACGTTCATATGCGCGCGATTTTCTGCGCAGCTCGTCAGTGAACAACGGCTCTGTGTAGTTAATGCTGCTCAATGTGAAAGCCCGCAGGTGATGGAGATTTACCGCTGATTACAGAACCGGCTTTCTGAAAAGATGCGCATTAAATATTGCATGCGATTTATCGTGCAGCCCTAATGAATACTCTATTAATTTTGTTGGGGTCAATGTGTTAATGTGCCATTCCCATCCTGTTGTGTACGTCCTTAGTGTAACATCACACAATAGTCAGGAATCTTTTGCTGGGTTCACCCAAGGTTTCACTTTGTTTCTTATCAGTCGTGTGTTCTATTCCTGATGATGTTCATCAGAAGTCCTAAGGGTGAAGCTGATTAAATGAGCTTGTAATCTGTGCTCCATGCTCCGTGAGGTGCTGTAAAGACATCTGTTCATTGTTCTTCAGTGGAGGAAGTACGCTGACTGCATCTAATCTCAGTCTGTCTCACAGGGTCAGTGCCAGAACTCCAGAACAAAGCTCTCCTCTTCTCTCCTGTAAGAAAAAGTTTGTAGGTTCAAACCCTGCTAGCTGTAATGTAGCTCCCATGTAATGTACCTTAAAACTGAATGGTCATTATTTTTTGACAAATGTCGACTAGTCACCAATATTAGGAAAAAATTACAAAAATTATAATGTGATATCATACTTTATTATGACACATGCGTAGTTTTGGATTTGTGATGAATCCTTTGAAGCTGCATTACTATGTCTCTCTTGTCTCCTGTTGAACAGTAAATAGACTGTCTTGTGCCCCCTGTGAACAGACTGGCTCGGCCTCGGGCTAATACACAACTTGTCTGTCTCTCTCGTTCAGTCTCTACTTCTCAAACATCATCATCATCATCATCACCAGAAAGCCCTGTCTGACCCAAGACAGACTTAGCCTATACAGCCTGTTGCTGCATTCACATTCAGTTCATACAGGCAGGTCTTCAGCCTGAGACCTCACAGGGCTCCATACTGTAACTAGTGGTCGACCAATATTGTTTTTTTGACAGCCGATGCCGATATCTTGGAAAGCAGGGTGGCCAATGGCCGATATAAAGCCAATATAATTGTATTTATTTTAATTAATATTTAAGAAATTTTAAAACATTTGAAAATGGATTAAAAAATAAATTTGTAAAATAAACATACTTGTACGTTAGATGACAAACAATCTCGACAAACACTCACAGTGGGGCATCGACTTCCTAGAGCGCTATGCAAAGTTCGTCAAGGAGCGTCTGGAGATTGAGCAGGCCTATGCAAAGCAGCTACGGTGAGCATCTAACAACATGCCTTAAACAGCAACTTCTGTAGAGGACTCATCTCATGTCAGTGAGGGGTTTTATTGCTCTGATTACATGAAATAAGTAGGTTAATAAAAAAATGAATGATATCAGTGAGTGATACTGATGCACTGGTTCAGATTCAATATTTGTAGCCATGTTTACAAGAGATGCACATAACTACAAGCTTATAGAGTCAAGTGGGTCAATTTCCTGAACAACTAGTAGACTAATTGGTCAAAAAGAAGCCCAGTATATTATAATAATGAGTTTGGTCCATCCTGATTCATTCCTGAAGTTTACAGGCATTGCAACAATTTATTAACAATATCTAACTCTTCATCTGAGGTGATATTGCTATTAAAATTAACACACTAAATATTGCTTACTTAAAAATTTACATTAAATCTACTTTAAAATAATTTAATGCACACTAATCAATCTCATGTGCTTTTATTATTGGCAGCAGCAAAAATGTTAAGGCCGTTATGTAAATAAAGGTTGATAGTAAAAACGTAAAAGTAATTTACAGTACTGTACATTTTTAATATCTTTGCAAATTATTATAATATTTAACTGATGTGCCATTTCAGGTATGCATATGTTTTTAATGTGGCTTCTCCAATCATTTTTTATAGCGGAATGATCCATTTTATAATAGGGCTTTAATTGTCCTAATGAGCACATCTGGTTTGACCCATGTTATTGATTTCTTTCTCCCACCCCCTCCATCAGTTCCTTATGTGGTAATATTGGTTTTTGCCTTGAGATACAGCACGAGGGGTGAGCGACAAATCAGGGGTCAAAAATCCCTGCAGGCTCTAAGTTGTAAGATTTGAAATGAGATCAAACTGAGAATGAGACACACACCGTGATTTCGCCAAAGGACACGCAATGACTGCAGCTGTGGCCTCCTATCCTCTCTCCTCTTCCGGGATGTCTCTGTCCCTGTGGACATTCTGCTGTTGCCCGGATACGGTTATAGAGTCGCTCCTCTTCCCCCTCTCAAATCTCATTGAAGGTTCTAGTGTAGTACCACATTCATTCTACCTGACCTCAATCCCCCCTCGAGGCACGGCCAGTCACACATGGCAACACCCAGACTGTTTTCTCTCTCAAGGGTTTCCATAGTAAGGGGTGAATGGAGCCGAACCACAGTACCCTTGTTTGATTTTAATATCATTTTTTTCAAATTAATCATGTATTACTGCATTATATATTTTATTTGTTCAGCAGGATTGCATAACTATTTTGGATGATTAATCAATTGATATTTTCTTTGATTAATCTGTTGAAAAAAAGTCAGCTATTGCAGCATTTTATCAAAAGCATATTGTTCCGCATATTGTCCAGTTGTCTCCTTCAAATCCTGTTTAAATTAAATAATGTTAGTAATTATATTTATAAAAGATGTATTTATAAATTAACATGCAAATTAACATAAAATGTATGTTATTTATTAACATGCATATGTGTATTTATAAAAAGCGTTTATAAATATTTAGAATGGAAAAAAAATATGCTAACAATATTAATACATTTTTAGTTTTTCAGTTTTCACATTGTTTGATGACAATAAATCTGTTAATTTAATAATCAGTATTAAGTTTAAAAATAATCATGTCGTCAAAAGTATTTGTAAAAATGTAAAATACATAGAGTTGTCATAACATATAAAATTATTCATACAGTGATACAAAATGTTGGACTCTATTCCTGCTGCTACTATTCATTGTGTTAAAAAACATTTGAACATTACACCTTGAAGTGCACACAGCATATTTTTCCACAACTGTTTGTTGATTATTAGTTAGATGCTTATGTTTTTACTGCAGCCCTAAAATTCAGCAAGATCGTCTGAATCAAAAACAGATTCTGAGATACTTGTACTAGATGTACTAATCATAACCATACTAAAGGAGAGTGGAAGTGAGTGTTTGTTTGATCGATTTCATGAAGTGGATTTGAGGAAGCTTTCATAAAGGAAGTGTCAAACATCATTAATGCAGCTCGATGAGGGTCTGGGTTGGGGAGAAGGGCCGTCCCACTCCTTGAGCACACTCAGCGGACCCCCCACACCATCCCCCATCCCTGAAGACAGCAACATGCCTGAGCACAGCAGTGCAGCTTCTCTCAAGAGCTCCCACATAAGATTTGTTTCTGCGCTCCTTCCCATGAGTTTATACTGCGTGGGACGAGGGAAGAGGGAAGACAGATTAGCATACCATCACTTTTTTTTGCCTGTTTACCATGGCCTACTTTAATTCTCTGATGCACAAAGTAAACACACTGTTGACAGACTCCTTTTTGTCTTCGTGGCTGTGTGAATAACTTTAGTTTTTATGTTAAGGGATATTATAATCCCTAATGAGTAGTTTTGTTTGATCTGTTCATAACATGTGCTGTTTTTGTGTCTATCTGTGTGTTCTGAATATTTCTTTTTGTTGCCCAACAGGAGTCTGGTTAAGAAATATTGCCCTAAGCGCTCCAAAGATGATGAGCCCAGGTGAGATAAATTGCATACTTTTGGTTCTTTTCACTTATTCTAGTGTGCTCCAGTGGTTCTCAAGTGGTTATTTTAACAGCTTTTTACACTTTTAATTAGGGATGCACCCATACCGATACTGGTATCGGTATCGGGCCCGATACTGAGCTCCTGTACTCGTACTCGTTAAAATGCCCCGATACCAAACGCCGATACCACACAGCATGTGATAAGTGCCATATTCAGACAAAGAAACACCGACAACAGAACAACAGACAGCAGAATGGAGTTAAGGATGTCTACTACGAAGTATATGTATGCAATGAATATAATGGTAAACATTCAGTATTACCGCCTGTATAGCTGATGTGCGCGAGCTGATAAACAAATCACGCTGAGTGGATTGAGCGTGCGGCGGCGCAGATGCGCGAGCTTGTCGAGTGAATATACCTTTCTCACAGACATCACTGGAAAGTTTGTAGTTCGGTCGGATATGTAAAAAACAAGTAAGTAAAACAATGCAAAAGTTACTTAATGGTAGGGAGAGAGAGAGACAGAGAGACAGAGAGAGAGAGAGAGAGAGAGAGAGAGAGAGAGAGAGAGAGAGAGAGAGAGAGAGAGAGAGAGAGAGAGAGAGAGAGAGAGAGAGAGAGAGAGAGAGAGAGAGAGAGAGAGAGAGAGAGAGAGAGAGAGAGAGAGAGAGAGAGAGAGAGAGAGAGAGAGAGAGAGAGAGAGAGAGAGAGAGAGAGAGAGAGAGAGAGAGAGAGAGAGAGAGAGAGAGAGAGAGAGAGAGAGAGAGAGAGAGAGAGAGAGAGAGAGAGAGAGAGAGAGAGACATACACGACTTTCTGGTGAAAGTGAATCTAGCAGCCTGTGTGAAATACGCTAGGCTGTAGGCTACTATTCTAAATCAGTACAAATACATGCACGCGTTGCGCTTGTTTTGCTTGCTTGAGTGTTTCTGCATTATATGAGAGGCTTTGGAATATAAATCGCAGCACGTTTCAGATGAAAATATCGGTATCGGTACTCGGTATCGGCAAGTACCAAAAATAAAAGTATCGGTATCGGGCGAGTACTGGAAAAAGTGCTATCGGTGCATCCCTACTTTTAATGGATGATGACAAAAAAAGTTAATTGTGTATAGGTAGTAACAGACTATTACATATACTTCTAGAATATTTGATTCTGTTTGGTCAGTCAGGACATTATTTTGGTCAAATATTCAAACTGTATAATTGACCATTATCCACAGAATGTAATTTCCTATATAGATAGGCTAGTTCTAGGGCTGCACGATAAATCGCATGCGATATTTAATACGCATCTTATCAGTAAAGCCGGTTCTGTAATCAGCGGCAAGATTTTACTAATTTATTTTCCAAGTCTGGAAATCTCACTCATATTTCCAGGTTTTCCAAGATTGTGAGAATCCTGATTCTTAAATAGAAGTGAGTTGTTGAGGGACGAATTAAAATAAGAAAAATTATGCCAGTTCTATTGATTTCTATCAATAAAAAAACAAACATTTTTAAACAAACAAAAAATGTTTTTTAGTTATTTTAGCTTTTTTAAAAGCTCGTTTTGTCTGTTTTAGTAGGGCTGTCAAAATGGCTGAAAAACTAAATTCGAATTTTGTTCTTAAATATTATCAAAATTGGAATTATATTCGAATTTAAAATGCATAATTTCAGTTAGGGTGAAGAAAAGCTTTTGGCTTCTCTCCTGAGGCCACAAGAGGGCGCATCATTCAAAGCATAAGATAACATGACTATCTGCGAAAAAAAGTGCATAATGTTTAAAATAATGTTTATAAACCAATTATAATTAAGTTGCTTAAACAAATATAATCAAAACAGCATCATGTATGTATGCATAGTTTAATACAAAGGGCAGAAAGCCAATCACACAGAGTACATTTTTCATTTAAAAACATGAGATGCAGTGGGATGGGGAAAAAACCCCGCCATAAAGTCTCGATATATGTTTTTTTTTTCAAAGTTAAACTTGCATTAATTTTACATGGCTTTCTAAACATGCGACTCCTTTGTGCGAGACGCGAGTGCAACGGTAATAGATGTCCGTCTAGAAAATGCATGAAATATGCGTTCTGTGTGAACGGCTTGGTTTCGGTTTTGATGTAAACAAGATCTTCTCCGCATTGATGTTCTCTTTTTCAGCTATATTTTTAATGAACAATGAGCAGCGCCACATCTAGTGGCTTCAACTGGATAGGCTAACAAAAACATTACAATGCAACCGTTCTGACAGCCATACTAGCTAGTTCCATGTGTCTCATATCACTCCGCAGTCTATTTCCTCATAGATAGTCTATCTAAAATGAATAAAAACATTTCTAATTTGAATAAATGCTGTTATTTTTAACATTTATTCATCAGAACATCCTGAAAAAAGTATCACGGGTTCCAAAAAAATATAAAGCAGCACAACTGTTTCCGACATTGATAATATATCAGCGTATTAGAATTATTTCTGAAGGATCATGTGATTCTGTAGACTGTAGTAATGACTGATGAAAATTCAGCTTCGCCACCACAGGAATTCATTATTTTATATTGTAATAATTACTATAATTGTGTTCTGGTGTATTTATTGTATTTTTATTTTTTTAATAAACACAGCCTTGATGAGCGTAAAATACTTGTTTAAAAGACATTAAAAAATTTCCATATATCTGTGTGTATGTGTGTGTATTACAAAACTGGAAATATAAAAATAAATGTTTGAACTACCATCAATTCTTTAAATTTGAACTCATGATATTATTTCATTGTATGTTTTGGCTGCAGTTGCTGTCCTAAGCAGCATGTTTCTCCCCTGTTGGCTATAGTTTTAGGTTGAAAGCAGAAACAGGGGAGTATATGCTGGGTGTCAGCTCCAGACCCTCCCATATCCCGTAATGAATTCCATTAGATAGGCATAATTTCTCCCAGCATGTGTTTTTGTCCCAGGACATTCATGTAGTGTACAGACAGCCCGCCGATTAGAACTCAGCCCTGGAGGTGGGGGCCATTTGCTTTGGACAAAAATTGCAAAGTGTGTGCATGTTTGTAAAGGTTTTTTTTTAATATAGTTAGCTAGTCATGCCTTGCGGACTGGCCTTTAGTCAATATCAACATACAGATAGAGTCTGTCGGCCCCCAGGGCCCATGACGGCAACTTGAGAAGAAGCTGCATGCGACTGGTAATAAATGCACTTATTTTTTTATGAGGGCATAGACATCTTTCTTAATGTCTCATATTAGAATATAAGCCTTTAATTCAGATGCAAGACGTTCACAAGTCCAAAAATTTAAGTTTCTATTGCAGTGTTTTACTTTGATTTTGCCCTAAAAATGGTCATTGATGCTGTTATGCCAATAAAAATAAATAAAAGATGTAAAAAGATCATGTTTACCATTTTCTTCATTGTGGAATATTTTTTTCCTGCAGGTTCACATCCTGTCTGTCATTCTACTCCATACTGAATGAGCTGAATGACTACGCAGGTCAGCGAGAGGTCGTTGCTGAGGAGATGGGGCACAAAGTGTATGGGGAGCTGATGAGGTACTCACAGGACCTGAAGGGAGAGAGAAAACTTGTGAGTGCCAAATACATGCACCTGAGACACCTGCACGCTCTGGTGAAGTTCAATACAAGTTTGTATTTTAAAAAATTGCTGTGTCTTGTCTGATCAACAGCATCTCCAGGAGGGACGGAAGACCCAACAGTATCTAGACCAGTGCTGGAAACACATGGACAATGTGAGTCATTTTGAGATTTGAGATGTCAGAAGTACTGGTACTTTGCTACCAAAAAAATTAGTCGATTATGTCTGAAACAGGTGGGGGGATAATAATAATAAAATATTTTTGTTCATTTTTTTTTATGTGTGAGTAATTTATACTATTACAAGTACCTCAAAAACTTGTTTAATTTGCATCTTTTTTTGTTCTCTTCATTGCAATTTGTTTCTTTTTTCCTTTGTTTTATTAGTGACTTTATTAAAAAAATATTTAAAATAATTAAAACCATGAAGCAGTGTTTACATAATTTAAATACTGAATAATAGGGGTGTAACGGTACACAAACATGATGGTTGCGTACCTCGGTTTTGACGTCACGGTTCGGTATAGTTTCGGTACAGCAAGAGAGAAAAAAATGAAACATATTTTTTTAATTAAACAATGGTTTACTGAACAAATAGGTTTTTTTTTATTTAAGTAAATTAAATTACAATTAAAACGTTCTTAGGGATAACAATCTACCTCAGCTTCTGCTCTAAACTATAGGGAGCCATTTTACATTAAGGATACAATTAACAACAAAGCCCAAAATTCAATTACTATTTATTTGTAACTATAATAATCAACACTCAAATTAATTTTTTATGCAAACATGTAAATTGCACATAATGTAGTTTTCAATGAACTTCTAATTTATACAATTTCTATGTTGTTGTTGAAATATATTCATTTACACAGTGGCTGTCATAACGTGTTTCATAAAAGATTTATTTAAAGGGGTCATATGATGCGATTTCAAGTTTTCCTTTCTCTTTGGAGTGTTACAAACTGTTTGTGAATAGATAAGATCCCTAAAGTTGCAAAGACTAAAGTCTCAAACCCAAAGAGATATTCTTTATAAAAATGAAGACTCTGCCACGCCCCCCTAAAACGGCTCGTTCTAACACGCCCCCACATATCTAGGTCACTATGTGGGAATATTTGCATAATGCGGCCAAATGTGCACGCAAAGAAAGAAGGCGTGGTTTCAGTAACCGCAGTTAGTGTTGAAGCAGCCATGTCAGGGAGACGCTGTGACTTTCTAGGCGAACGCAAAAGCACTTTATTTGGCCTTCCGAAAGTAGATGCATTTAGGAATCTTTAGGATCACTTACAACAGAACAGCAATGCATTTTATGGACGACCGTTTCGTGAACCTAGGAGAGGAGGTCATTCTGACTTTGCTATGACAATCTGGCGCTTCTGAATCTATTCTGTTACACCAAATACACAAAATAGTGATCTTTAAAAAAGCCTCATATGACCCCTTTAAACATATATTAAATAATGAAGACATCACTAACAGGTAAAGTAAAATATAATGAAGTATAATGTTTCTCAAAATGCTCTTTTCTAGACTTAATTTCTCTAGCAAATAACGAGCTGTAGACACTGATGACTTGCCTGAGGTAATTGAAATGCTACGTGACATTTTGTTTACAGGCTGTTTTAATGACGTCTTTTCGCAATTGAAACACTGATTGAGCGATTACATGAGATATTCAATCATGTATATTTCACGTTAAAACTAGTAGTAATGATGAAGGGATGATCGCACTCAGCGCTTCCGTCAGAACTGAGGCTTCTAAACGGCTATCTGTCACACCATATCAAAGAACATCAAAACGGCATTTATTGTCTGAATTTCCTGAAAAAAAAATGGAATGATTTGTTCATTACACATGCGTACTGAACCAAAAGACCCGTACCGAAAATTTTCAGTACGAATACGTGTACCGTTACACCCCTACTGAATAATAATATTAATAATAATAATATGTACAATTAACAAACAAACATAAAACTACAATTCGCAGACCAAGAGCTGAAGAGTAATATTCAGAGGAAAAAAATGTGTTTTTAAGCAAGGAGGAAGCTTTAATCTATACTTTTGATTTAATAGTCAATGGCATATTATTTTTTGCTATGTTTTGGAAATTGAATATGAGAAACGTGAAATTTTACTGGTATTAGTATCAACCACAGAAGTTTTGTAATAGCATCAGCTCTATTTGAGATGCACTGTTGTGTCAATGGCTGAGTGCAAGTGACCGATTCACAACCTCTCCTCCAGCTGTGACCTGAGATCCAGATATATCTGTGTGTGTTTATGTGCAAGTATAAAACAGAAGAATGTGTCAAAGACTGTTGGCAGTGTACAAATGGAAACCTTCCTGCACCACATTCAAGTTATCAAGCTCTCTCTTTCCATTCTCCCTCTCTCTCTGATTCATACCCTGCACTGCATTCCTGCATCCTGTACGTTTCCTGCCTGTCAGTGCGTCTCATAGTCTGTACGGCTGGAGTATTTTTGCAGCTTTATGGTTGCTGCAGCTAAAGGCCAGCAACAGCTGAATCTGGCATTGAGAATGGCCATGTCGTAATAACATAGGTATTCCTCATTCTTGCACTGTCACGAAATGAAACACAGATGCTTTGGAAGCTGTTATGCAAATTTCATTATCGCTCTCACTCTCTGTACTGTTTTGGATGTTTGTTTGTACGTTTATCTGTATTTATGTTGCTACTTGATCAAAACATGACAATATTTACGACTGTATTTTATGCAGGAAGATCGTTAATGCTCACTTAGTGTTGCAGGAAATGCGTCATGTGAGTTTTGACAGCCCAAAAACATGTCTCTTTTTCCGTATGGATTTTACAGAGTAAAAAGAAATTTGAACGGGAATGCAAAGAGGCCGAGAAATCACAGCTCATCTACGAAAGGCTAGACAGTGATATCAACGCCACAAAGTCAGAGGTGGAAAAGGTAGTTTGTGTGATCCTGATATACTCTACATGACTGAATATTATCTGAACCATTTGAAAAATCATTGTAAAACAGCACAAATGCAGTTTTTGGCCTAAGACTCTAAGTTGTCCTGGGGCCTGAGCTGTATTCCTGAAGTATTAGTAATACAGATGACCATTCGTTCTGTCTTAGGCAAAGTCCCAGCTGTATTTGAGACAACACATGGTGGAGGAGAGCAAGAATGAGTATGCAGCCCAGTTGCAAAACTTCAACTCTGAACAGTGGAAACATTTCAACGTGGCCATCCCTCAGATATTCAAGGTGGTGATATCCCTGATTTGTAGTTTCTGATATTTCAATTAAATTTTTTTAGTAAGTTTTTAAAGGCTAAGCTTTTAAAGACTATACTCACTGAATAAATTGTTGATAAACTTGTTATTTTAGTATTATTTATAAACTATTCTAGTATTTATTAATATTTTGAATTAGCTTTGATTTTTTCCCCCCAGTATTTTAAGTTTTGGTAATTTTTGGTGCTTTTTAATGTTTTTATTTTCTTTTAATCTTTCTATTTAGTTCAGTTTTAATAATTTTAGTATTTAAACTTATTTAATTCCCGTTAGTTGACAGGGCAACATTTCTTCAAGTTAAATTTATCATCTAATATTTATATTTTATTTCAGCTTTATTTCAATTAACAAACAATTTTTAGTAGTTTCAGTTAACAATAACACTGTAATAAATTGCATTTGGTTTGTGACTGCTCACAGAAAAGATCTCATAAATCAAATGACTAGTGTAGTTTTGTGTATGTAGTTGAACCTCTGTGTCTGTGTGCTTGTAGAATCTGCAAGACATGGATGAACGGCGGACGGTCAAGCTTGGGGAGATGTACCGGAGTTTTGCTGAGGTGGAACGAAGAGTCATTCCCATCATCTCAAAATGCTTGGAGGGCATGGTTACTGCCGCTAAAAATGTGGACGAGCGTAGGGTAAGTACTGAAATGCTATTAAAATATTTAAGAGCCCTACAAAAAAGAATTGCATATTGGTAAAACGTCTATAAATTCTAGAATTAAATATTAACAATATATACTGCTATCCAAAAACAAAAATAAATTATATTTTAAAATATATTAAAATAGAAAACAGTTATTTAAAATTGTAATAATATTTCCGATTATTACTAATTTTACTGTATTTTTAATCAAATAAATGCAGCCTTGGTGAGCATAAGAGACTTCTTTTAAAAACATTTTAAAAGATCTTACAGAACTTCTTTGGTATATATTTATGTTGCTTGCAAAAAAAAAGATTTTAGAACTAGGCGGTGTAGTTATGACATCTAACATGCTCTGATAACCAGCCTTCATCCATTTGTTGCCTCAAGTAACTTATTACGCTCCATTATGAATTTAAGGAAATATACCATACTTCTCCCTGAGGTCATTTTGTACCTGTGATCTCCATGGTAGCTGCGGTCCACTTCTTGATAGAAAAAAGGGGTTATCAGAGACGGCGAGTGGGCGGGAGGAAGTGAGGGAGTGGATGATTGAGAGCCAGGGAGGATGAGAGAAACATAAGTTGCTCGTTTTCTTAATGCTGTTGCCAACGCTGATGCTTATGAAAAGGTCGCTTGTTGTGCAGTAGCGGCTCGTGGGTTTTAAAATAGAGGAGGCACACTAATTGTATTGGTCTGGGATCCCTGCCGATTATTATTATTATTATTTGCTTAACCACTTTAAAATTGCTTTTTGGTTGCTTTTAGTCAGAAAACGTAAAGAAAACGACATATATACAGCAAGATAATATAATTTCACTTACCTGGCCTATCACTTGAAGCAAACATCCATCCCTTCTTAAAAGTCTGTGTTAAAAGAGAGCTGCCTGTTGCGCCATTTAATTAAGCCGCCTGCTGTAGCCTATATCCAGCTTAGGCTGTTTTCCTTAAATTTGTATACTGTTTGAATGACAGCTTGGTAAATCTGTTGGCGATCAAATATTCAATATCGCCACTCATCATAAGTACTTGGTACATTATCAGCGCAGCGGGAGACGTTCAAACTATTATCACGTAATTTACGTTTCTTTGATGATTGGTTGATATCAGAAGGGAGGCTAGCCTCCCTTGCGAGGGTTCTTTTCTCAACACTCCTCAGCGTCTCCCCCGTCCTCCCCCTACCCTTCTCTATCATTAGCGGTTGCAATTACATCAGCAGATTCGGCACATTCGCGATAGAAAAGCGGCGCTTTCACGTTATGGTATTACAACTGTAAAATTACAAACAAAAAATACACATTCTGAGACATAAACTGAAATAATTGTGAATTTTATTAACATTAAATCGTCCTCCTCCCATTTTCACCTCAAAATTATGGAGAAGCTGTGCCTCCCCTGCCTCCCCCGACGAGCCGCCACTGTTGTTGCGCCGTAACCACTGATTACAATTTTATCTTGCCCTGTTTTAGTCTTTCTCTCTCTTTCTGTCCTGTTCTTGTATAAACACTACTGTTAAAAGATTTAGTGTTGGTTCAATTATTATTATTTTTATGATTTTGAAAATTCTCTTATGCGCAACAAGGCTAACTACAGTAAAAAATAGTAATGTTGTGAAATTTTACTATTTAAAATAACTGTTTTCTAATTTAATATATTTTAAAATGTAGTTTATTCCTGTGATGGCAAAGCTGACTTTTTAGCAGCCGTTACTCCAGTCTTAAGTGTCACATGATCCTTCAGAAATAATTATAATATGCTTAGTATTTTTGTGAAAACAATATTTTTTTCCAGGATTCTTTATTGAATAAAGAGTTCAAAAAGTGCATTTATTTGAAACATAAATCTTTTGTAACATTATAAATGTCTTAACTGTCACCTTTGATTAATTTAATGCCTCCTTTTTGGAAAAAAAATCTTATTGAGCCCGAACTTTGAAAGGTTGATATAGAACTTTTAAGAATTGCTTTGACTTTGGAGTCAGACAGTTCTAAGCAAAAAGCAGGACTTCAGCTCTATATGAAGAAACTAAAAATAACTTTAAGTGAAGTCTAAGCCTTCTTAAATACAGGTGCCCAATCCTTCGTCCCACTAGCCAATTTTTTTTAGCCAGTTTTCCATGATAAGTTATGTTTTAAAGAGGATCCCCCTTATTCTTGATCAGCTATGTGTGCAGCCTCAGGTGTGTTAATATCCTCCGCAACTCTATGCTGAGTTAATAGCCCTACTGATCTTCCGACAAGATCTCAGTGCTCATAACACACACATTTAGCAGCTCCTAACTAGGTTAGGATACCCCTCCAGGTCTCTTAAATAATTTAGGATTTAAAACCAACTAATTTATGCACAACTCTTCCTTTATACCAGGAATAATGCTGCGTTCACATTTTGGCGAATTACTGTAATTTCAAGATGGCAGCTCGAAGATTCTGCTTGGAGCAGTTCACATCCTCATACTCAGAAATGATTCGTTTCTTTGGTAACACCCATAGCACCATGCCTCCCTTGTTTTTCCTCTTTTCTCCTCGCTTTCCTGAATTCATTGGTGGATACTTGCCCTGCCCAGCGACAAACCAATCGGGTCTGATTATGACCTGCTTCTGTTTACGGTTTTATTTATGAGCTCGCTTACGTTGTTTTGGGATTTCCTAATACCCTCTGCTCGAATGCTGAGGCCAAGAGAGGCTCGTAGAGGCTGTTAAATGTGTGACACAAAGCCAGATCTCTTTTGTAATGGTACCACACCCTTGACAAACACACAGTTGTCCCAGACCAGCTAACCATCCTGCCACGTGCCTCATTTCACCAACACTATAGTACTCACTGTTCCTTCCTTCGCATAACATTAGATAGATACATAGATTCTTCCATGTTAAAGGGTTAGTTCACCCAAAAATGAAAATTAGGCTGTGTTTTACTCACTTCATGCACTGCTGACTTCAATGATAGAGCTTGGAATAGCCAGGATGATTTTTAATATAACTCCGACTGGATTCGTCTGAAAGAAGAAAGTCATATACACCTAGGATGCCTCGGGGGTGAGTAAAACAGACTAATTTTCATTTTTGGGTGAACTAACCCTTCAAGGTCTCTCTTTTTTTCTCCCAAGATTTGCATTGTTGCAATGTCTTTTCCCTCCATGCAGTATATTACTGCCACTGATGGTGTGACATAGTGATATGGGCTGGTGGTAAGCATAAGGTTGCTAGTTCAGTCTTTGAAAGGAATGAGCTTATGCTTATAGTACTGTTAAACTGAAAGTGTCAAGTGTTTGATGTTCAAGAGTGCAAATAAATAAAGGTGTGGTACCAATGTGCTCAAGAAACATTTCTGATTAACAGTTTTGAAAACAGATGTGCAGTTTAATATTTTGGTGGAAACATTTTGTGATCATTTTTAAGGATTATTTGATGTATAGAACATTTAAAAGAATAGCATTTATTTGAAATAGAAACCTTTTCTAACAACATAGGTGTCCCCATCTTTTTTAATCATTTTAATGTATTGTTGCTGAAGAAAGAACACTCCAAACGTCTGAATTGTAGTATATGATTCTTGCACTTGGCTCTACATAAAGGTTATGCATATTGTTGCTGTCCCACAGGATTCTGGGGTTGTAGTGGAGTCATTCAAGTCAGGGTTTGAACCCCCGGGTGATTTCCCCTTTGAGGACTTCAGTCAGAACATCCAGCGAACAGGATCAGATGGCACCATTGGGACCCCCAAAACGGAAGGAGGCAAACCGGACCCTAAACACGCTGTTGGCAGGACCAAAAACAAACTCTGGCTTTTTGGGAAGAAACCGAAGGTGAGTTTCACAAACTCTTTTCATTGCTAAGCAACTTTCTGTTACATTTTAAGGCATTTGCTCAGAATAGGTGATGAATTAAATGTCTGCATGATGTCCAGGCTCTCTGCTTTGGCTTGTGTGAACAGTAAAGGATTATATGGCTAGGTAAAACTTTAACTTCTGCTTTCAAACCTATGCTGTCAGTAACTACAAACTTCCTGACCTTTTCATGTCTTTTTTAACAACATGACTTCACGTTTTTCCTTCCCTTGAAAGTAGTTCTTGTTTTTAAAAACCCTTAATTTGAATGATGTAATGAAAGTTAAAACTTGCTTCTAAGCAACATTTAACAAGCTAGACGTCGTTCATCTAGGCATTTAACTAGCTAGATGAGCGATTATAGTTTTGCATGTTCATTTGTTTGTGTTTGGTTAGTAGTTCACCTTAAATCTTTGTTGTCCCAGCTTCCCCCATCCATCCCTCCCCCTTCCCTCCCGAGTTTTCCCTCTGGCCATTTCCAGCCTCCTAAATTTTCTACAGAGCGGATAGCTAACCATCTATCCGAAATGAGAAATGCAAAATCTAAGATCCCATCCTTCCGAGCTGTGAAAAGAGGGGTAAGAGTCTGCCCGGATCTGGCGTGTGTGGGTTTGCAATGATAATGACGTTAGTGCTTATGCTTGGGCCGGTTTCTCTCACCCAAGGTTTAGCTAATTCCTGCACACGAGGAAAGTGTGAATCACAATTATTTTTGAGTGAAGGAATAAGGCTTTATCTGGGTCCAAAGAGCTGTGCCCCTAATTTTAGCTCTGGGGTTTGATTGTTTCATAAAGCAGCAGAACAGGGTGGAGGGTGTGTTGGGTGGGTGGTTTTTTTTTTTGGTCTTGATTTATTTTTTTATGCACAGCTTAGTATTTTTTTTCTACTTGCGTTCACACTGACTGGCTGGGTAAAAAATATCGATATCTCGATATTAATCGATTCTCATTTTAAGGAACGATATCGATTCCTAAATCCCAAGAATCAATTAGTCTAGCCTGTTTTCAGTTAATGGACGGAACATTGAAGGGTACTTCCCATCCAATAAATCGCAATAAGCATTGTGCTTTGGTACTTTTCATATGAAACAAAGTCTCAGATTTCAAATTCTGTCCATTGTATTGCAGTATTTAAATAATAAATGCCATTTTGGCGCTGTTTAATGTGGAGTGACAGATCGCTGTAGTGCCTCAGTTCAACAGACGTGAACTGATCATCTCCTCCACATTAATACCAGTTTCAGCACAAAATAATCATGACTAAACATCCGAAGGTAAGTTAAAAGAAAGAGTACAACTTTACAATCCGTATCCTGTCTCATGTAATAACAAAGGCCTCCTGTAGTGAATAGATGCTTTTTTTGTAAGAAAAATATCCATATTCAAAACGTAATAATCACTTTAATGTAGCTTGCGCCAACAGTCCTAAACAAAAGCAGCTCCAGGCAGATGACGTATGAGTGGCATTAAACAGCTTGAAAGATCAAAGACAATTTTTAATATAGCTCCGACTGGATTCGTCTGAAAGAAGAAAGTCATATACACCTAGGATGACTTGAGGGTGAATAATTTGTGGGCTAATTTTCATTTTTGGGTGAACTAACCCTTTAAGTGACATTGTTTACAAGCCGTTATATTGACGTCTTTGCACGGCTGAAACACAGATTGAGCATGATGACATTACATGAGACAGGATACGGATTGTAAAGTTGTACTCTTTCTTTTAACTTACCTTCGGATGTTTAGTCATGATTAATTTGTGCTGGTGAGTAATTTGTGGGCTAATTAAAATTTTTGGGTGAACTAACCCTTTAACGTCACATTTACCTCTGAAAAAAAACATATTCGGTTACCATAAACTCATTAGTCAGATAGAAAAATAAATTGTATAGAGGGGCATTTTGCTTAATATATGCACCATATAACATATTCATTATAATTTTTACTGTTCTTCAATGTTTAATTTGTGTTTGAATAAATCCATCAAGTTTTTATGACAGCCACCATTTAAATGTTTACTGACTCTTATGTATATTTTATAGCATTAGTTGAGAGATTTTTTTTCCTTGAGAACATTTGGCATGTACTGTACCTGATATATATAAAAAAATAATTGATATTGAATTGAATCGAATCGAATCGAACAAAATAATCAATCGAATCGCAAGCTTGTGAATGAGAATCGAATTGAATCGTGAAATTTGTGTCAAAACCCAAAACCCAGGTCTTAATGAAAAGTCTATAACATACTTTGGTTAAAATTTCCCAATTGTAGTGTAAAAAACACCCTTTTTACCCTGTTAAAATAAGCTCTGTTTTCAGCACACCGTTCTAGTACGTTGCTTTAAATGCTAAAGAGCTCTGCTGACCCCGCCCCTCTCTTCTGTGGGATGACGAGCAGACTGTAAACTTCAGCCGCGAAACTAGCTAAATAGCACATATTAGGAAAGGCGATTTGCAAAGATTCCAAAAAAAAAC